CAATGTTTCTCTTGTTGAATAATGTTCATTGCGCATACTATGAAACTATATGAGTGACTAATCTGCTTGAAATTCATGGAGCTTGCCTCTATCATGAGAGCATATCAATTCCAGGTCTTGTAGGGTCACACTAAATACCACTATCATCGCTTGGTAGTCTATCCAGAAGCAGCGAGAGAAAAACTATGTCCAGCCAACAAGTTTCATTCCAACTAGTGGAAGCACTTAAGCACTTGCTGCGACCATTGGTCTGAAGAATGCTAGAAGAACGGAACCTTCCAGTAAACTCGAGGACGTAGCTCAGATATAACTGGTTCCTAAGGTACTCCACACTGGGGCAGGTCTCTGATGTGAGAGGACAAGTAACTGTGTAGCCGACGTTTTGCGCAACTGGTAAGGGCACAGTTCACGTCAATTCTGAGGTACAGTCTTTGAGTTGAAAAGCGGAAAAGATGGTGAGGAATAAAGCATTGATGACCAAGAAAGCAACAAAAATCCTCCTACTCTGTGAGAAAGAAGGCTTACTGAAACTAGTGAAAATAGAATATGGACGAGACTAGCTTGACGAGAGTGAATGGAAGGGGATATTTGGACGAGATTCCAGTTATCGCAGTGCTTGATAACACCTACATTCATGACGCCTACACAACCCAAAAATGTCTAGAACTCTCTTTCACCCTCCTCATAGGTCTTTTCTAGTTTTTCGACTTTCGAACCTGAGAGAGCACGGACGGTAAGACGCCGCAAATTCATCAGAGGTAGGCTTGACAGAAACCACTTTCATCGTGAACTCTGCCTCCATATCTCACTTATCAGAGACCTAGGCAATAGCTCCAAAACACCGACACTAGGATCAGTTCTGAGCATGTGCCTAATCATATTAACCCTACGTGTCAACAGATTCTGATGACAATTCTCTCGAAACAGAAATCGAAGAAGAACTCAGGATGGCTGCAAAATTGGCAGAGTGCAGAACATTGAATGGGCTCGGAGAAGTGAAGAGTACCAACATTTGCAGCTTATGGAATCACATAGAGCCACCCCTAGGCTGCTATAGACAATTTCTTGGAAGAGTACAACACCGTGGACCAGATGTAGAGGGCTTGAATACTCTATGGATGAAGTAGAGAGGTCCATTGGCATCCGTTGCGACCGACTGCGTTATGAGGAGCTGAACAGATCAGTGGTGAGATTCACGATGCTTCACGGCAGTGAGTGAGCAAAGGGTAACGTGAAAGGCATGTGTTTTGACCTTGCAAAATGAGGACCTCTAAACGGCCTGTGGTTGGACGCGGTTGTATGAAGCGACGAAGACCTAAGACTATTCAGGCAATCTCTAAGTGAAGATAGAAGAACAGAATAGACTCGTGTTGCGACGAAGTGACTCTTCCACGGAAGCGATAGAATCCGAAGCTCGTCTAGCTGCAAAGAGAAGGTGAAGGGACGTGATTAAGCAGTCAAGGTAACGACATAGCTAACGAAGAAGAACAACGCACCTTTGAACTAGCGAGGTTTACACATCAGAAGGGGAGGAACAAGAAGAGTTCAGCATTTTTTCAGCACCGATCAATTGGTCATCAAACCGTAAGCTACTTTCGACTTAATGACCCCTAAATGGATTCTGGAACACGGATCAAAGGATAAACCTCATCCGACAATAAAAAGAGATTCCTGTCCCGAGTTCAGCTGCTTTCCCTACTTTCAACGAGATCGCCATTCTTTCAATATGTAAAATCACGAAGAGAATAAGTAAGCTCATATGGGAAGGGTGCTTAAGGTCGAATAAGCCTTTTTCGGGAAGTTTGAGTAAGGTTTGCACGATTTCGTACTCACATAATATTCTCAACAGATCATATTATAAAATTTATCATAAGATCAGAACGAACAACAACAAGCAACAAAAACAACACAATTTTGGGCTACATCTACTCATAAAAATAAACGTTCATAAGTTGTGTTCTGTAAAAGTTTAGTAACATGGCTTCACGAATCCGGTTTGCAGGACTGACGTTCTGGTATCAAGATCACGGTGCTCGCTCTACCGGGGCTGCTTGACCTCCTCCTGGCTGCTAAACAACACTTGAGCTTTCAATAATCTTCATGAAGTGGAAGAATTCATCGAATACCTGCTGTCTTTTAAGCTCACGCTGTTCCCGAAGATAGGCGAAGAATGAATATCCATATCCAAATATTATGATTATCAGGCACCCACCAACGGAGAGTGCTATTCCTACAACAACCAAAGCTTGTTAGAAAGTACCGCCCTCGTTGAGCAGCTTATGTTGCTTCTTGAACTTATAGAGATGCTATTGATTTGAAACGAAACTAAAAAGTAACTTTATTCCCAAGGCATGGCAGCATAAAGCCCGCGACGGGTGTGTATATCCCACACGAATAAACTAAACCGGGTTCTATCAGCACAGCCTTAGTTGAGGAGACTGCAGTGATGAAACTCTCACTAATCTACGGAGGAAAATCATTTGACGCCGGCTTCTTCAGAGTTATAACCAGTTTGTTTCGAATTGATGTTTTATTAACTGCTGTTATATCGCCGCAGTACGCAATACGAAAGTCTCACAAGGATGGCGATTTATGGACAAAACTTCAGTCTCGGACGGGACTCGAACCCGTACATGTGTCCTAAAAGCACAAGTCCGGTTTCGATTCCCTTCAGAGACTGAAGTTCTGTCCATAAATCGTTATTTCATCAGTTTCTTAATCTGCTTTTGCTTCTTAGTTTCCAAAGAGTTTAATCTACTTCAGAACCTCAAATAGAGCAGATGTAATATGCTTCAAAACTCGGCCTTATCATCATTTCCTCAATATCGCACAATTTCTACTGCGATTCACTGCAATGCACTTCGGAATGACACTTCAAAACTTTAAACAGATTAAAAGAAACAATATCTGTAATAGTTACTTTTTTAGAGAACCCACCTACACCCAAATTGTCGGCATTTTCTTTCCGATCTCTTTTTCTCTTCGACCTTCTTCCCTTAGTTGGATGCAGCCTGTAATCTCAGAGCTGAGCGAAATTAAATCTCATCAGAAGACAGTCCAGCGACTGCTACCAGGCCGAAAGCAATAGAAATCTTTTCCAGGTAGAACCAAGCGTTGAACGCAAACATTGTTGCAAAGTTCACTGACAATATGTACATGTCACTATCACTGAACTTATCTTTTTTTCGAGTCTAGTTCCCTCTTTTCCTTTTAGGATTCACCAACTTTATAATTCTCTATCTGCCACATTTTCTCTTTGTACTTCTCTCTTCTGAAGGTTAGCTGACGGCCTGACGTTCTCATTTTCTTTGCTTTCATCTCTTACACCCTCTTTTCGATACCTTTTGTTGCCCATAAGGTCTCTCCGAGTACGTCTATTTTCCCTACCGTAAAACGTTTTCTTCGATCTATACACTTGAGGAAAGCTTGAAATTTGCTTACAGAGCTGCTCAATAAGCTTTCACGTCCTACTCACGCTTCCTGCCCTCCGCTTCCCCTACCTCTATGCTGATTTGTCTGTCCTATAAATGCTACCTTTCGTGTTTAGGATCGTCATAAAGCGCATGGAATACGACGCCAAATTTCTCTTTGATCTAAACTCTTATTCTACGCGAATTCCAACGTATGTAAGATGAGTGCGACCGAGCTAGCAGCACGCTCGCCCATCTAAATAAACAGAGCCGACCGATAAACGTGAGGAAGTGCACCTTTCTTTCACGCGGAACTCGACTTTTCCTTGTGTTCCTAGTTCTTTCTGTTCGTGGTCGCTTATCTTCGAGTAAGTCTCGATAAGAGCAGCCAAATGCACCTCATAAGGGGAATATTCGAGCTCAACTTTGTGTAGAGGCTCTATTGAGGTCAAATTAGGGTTATCCGCAACCCGAAAAATTGGGCCTGAAAAGATGGATATTACTATGACGAATCACTTGCACAGGACTAGAGAAAAGTTATGCTTTCATATTCCGATTACATTCAAAGGTAGGACTGTAGAACGAACGAGATCAAGAACAAAAACTTACGCTTAGTTGTGTAATCGGATACTCTGAGAAGAGACTTTAGAAACGTGAGGTTCTTGATACCAGTGTTGTTCATAATTATTAACTGGCCCTCAATATCCTCAATTTCTTCGAAGTAACGAAGAAGATGACTTGCAGATTCAACTGCAACACACAGTCTGTTGTCAAGAATTATATCTGTAGTAATCGCGTTGTACTCCAAATTCATCATGGTTGCAACAGTTATACAGCTGTCGCGACCGTTCAAAACTTATCTTTTCGAGAGTACTCCCATATGTTCGTGCTGCGAGCAGCCCGGGCCGTTAGTAGGTGCCTTCCAGCTGTTTCTCTTCGTGAGTCACTTCCTTATTTCCTTCTGTTGTCTAATGTGAAGTCTAAGGTTTTAGAAGGGAACGATACTAGGGAGCAGTGGCCCTTCAAGACGATATGTATACGGCCGTAAGTTTTTCCAGATTGTGATCTCAAGTTCAACTTCGAAATCTGGTAAACGGTTCTGAGATCAGGGTTACCGAACCATTTCTTTCCCTGTGTCATATCACCGTGTCGCCTTTGTAAGCGAACCGAGTAAGCTGCTGGTAGGGTGGCGTATCCTCAGAACGCGCATGCAAGTTTGGATCCTTGCTCGCTTTGCTTCTTCACAAAATATGTTCTTGCATAATGCTTCTACGCTTCATATTCACCACATACAGATTTTCTTCACATTTAAAGAGTACTGGAATGCATACAGAAAGAGTTTTTTGCCCTCCATTGCTGTCGAAAACGGCCCACTTCAAGCTTAGTAAAGAGAAATTACGAAAGCTTTGCTCAAAAAAGACCTACGAATCTTGATAGTTTTCTGAATATTTGGACAGCAACTTGTCACACTGGTTATTGTATCGAAGCTCTCTTCCACATATTACCGGCGAGATGTTCTGTACAAAAGTTGTGCCATCGCGTTTGTTAGAGGAAGATGGTTCCTGCGACACAATGCAAGCACCATCTAGGAAGAAACAAAAGGCAATAAAGAGCTTCCCGTCCAAAGTATGTATGTATTCCCCAACAACTTCGTCATTATGCCTTATACGACAAAGACGATTGCGTAGAAGACGATCATGGTGATCCTCTCTGGTGACCAGATAGTAGCGACGACGACGAGCGACCTGGCAATTTCGAGAGGGAACCTCGTTCCCTTTTGGGAATATGGAGGTTTCAAAAGAAAAGGTAGATCTTAACTCTATATTTCCGCCCATAATCTTTGATTTTATGATGCAGGTAGAGGAGACGATAACCTTTTATCGCTCGAGTGCTAGAAGAAGTCACGCACTTTTGTGCATGAGGGGCAGGGTGAGCTGTTTCACGACGAAACACCATTAGCGAAAGTCGATAAAACTTGGGAGAATTTTTGACCATTTACCACGACCTACGTGGCTGCAGGAATTAGATATAAAGCGATAATCGATCTATCAAGCTTTGGAGATTAGCCTAGAAGTCGAACGGAGAAGTTATGACAAAATTCAGTCGGTTCCAGCAACGTCCCACTCTTTTACTGTCACTTTCTTCCGACTCTCTCTGCTAATGGCCGCCTAGAGAAGAAACATTAGATAATGCAAATTAGTGTGCTCGATACTCTGTGGATAAAATTTTGCACACTGTCTCCTAGAAAGTACTCAATAGGCGGACAGGCTGAAAAATGCTTTCGCCTTCCATTTCGGAGGTCAGGGCAAGTGAATCCCGTAGCTGAACAAAAAGCTCATGCAGGATTGGTGAGGTCGTACGTTGGATCAATGGGATGGCTCTAGCCCCTTTTGTTTGCCAACTCATGGAGCTCATTCAATGACTATGTAATAATTCAGGGTGCTTCATCACTGGGAAGGCGTCGAAAACTCTCCATCCTCCTGACACAAGATCCCAAATCCAACCTTTTAATGCATATTTTTCTTGCTATTTGAAACTATGTTTGGGCGTGTCTTACCCCACGTTATCGCTCAAGACCTTAATTTTCACGTAAGCAACCGCGACATAACAATTCGCCCTATCTCATCAGTGTACTTCCTGTCTAGCGCTTGCGTTGCTAGCATTGTGAGGACCTTTTCTGCTTACAATTAGAAATGCTTCGTATTGGACTACCATATGTGTACGTGGATTGCTCACCCATTGTTCTGACTGCTNCGTCAACAGAGATGTACTGGCGCATTTCCGGTCAAGTAGAATACATTGTTCTTCCCAAAAGCATTGCGGTCACATAAGTCATCCAACCTCCTCTGTCAAAAGTGCGTAGAGCTGCCGTATACTTCGCAACCCAATTTTTAGGCTCTAGTCGTTGGTTAAGGTAAGGGAGAACTCGCATTGTATTACGATTTTCAGTATTTTTGTAAGCGTTCGGAACGTGATTTTTTGAAAAGTAAAATAAGGACCAAGGATTCGAATTTCGAATCTCCTTCATCGTCCTCACAATCCTGAAACCTACAAACTGCGCTATCGCTGCAGAGACCAACCACTCTTTGCGAACTCTTACAGTGGTATACGTCTCATCTTGAATGGCCATTGCGATTTAATAGTATCCAATAAGTATTATTTTGAAAGACGAGTGCAGGGATAGGCGAGTGACCCAGGCAGCATGCCAGTGCTGACATGCTTCGGTGCTGCATGTGTTCATTTTTAGTTTCCTTCCCTCGAACGTAAGAACGATCCCTTCGGACGTAAGGTCGATGTGTTAGGTAATCAGACACGCTCTCTCTCTAATGCTCTAATGTATAGTGCTCTTTTCGCAAAAACGTTGAGCAATTCTTGTGCTCTCCAAATGAATGTTTTGTCCACTTCACTAAAGTGACCCCCCATCCCTACTCTCA